TCAAAACAAAGCACTTTGGCAACTTACCACATACGTTTTAAAATGCTTAATAAGCACCATAACTTTCATGATATCATTTCTCGTTCATAATCGGTTGTTTCCGTGAACGGCCGACTGTTGTGTGACGGCAAATGCTGCGGCCGCAAGGCATTGTGGGGCAGCATTTTCTCCTCTCCTTTCGGTTAGGGAGGTCCAGTGGTTCCTAGGCTAAAGGAGGTTATAAAGGAAGTTTGAAACCTCCTTTCCTTTCATTTAGAGAATTCGAACGGCTCTTATCATGGCTGCCACTGAGGGACTTCCGGGTCATTTCACTCCGTTAGGAAGGTTCCTAAGCTAAATGGACTATTCGACCGCAACCCTAGTGTGGAGTTGCATTAGGTAACGCTGTGGTGGCTGTACTCCTCCAGCCGTCTCCTTTGTGTTTGTTTGTTTTGTCTGTGTTGTTTGCGTGGTGGCTGTCACTCCTGGCTCCCGGCTCGACCTCCACTCACCTGCTGCAATCCGCTGTGCACCCTCCCCGACTACACACCTGCTTTCCATCAAGCCATTTACAACGGCATACCAACGGAGGCTCCACAACGGTTCTCCGCCAGATCGTTGTAAAACCACAGTGGTATAACTTCAAGGCTACTTAGTATTATAGCTATTTTCTCATACCTAGATGTTTTAGCTTCTAACGTGTTTTCTTCTTGTGCTCCAGGATCATTCTCCGACCGCCGTGTTGCCGTCACCAGCCGCCACGTCCTCGCCACTCCAGCCGGATTCTACTCCCCGCACCTCGTCCACTAATAAACCCTTTTTCAACACTCTGCCGTGTCCTGTGTTTGGGTCCTCTCAGATACCGTAACAAACGTGAGATACGGCTGATACTTGCGCATTAGTTTCTGTAATGGATCAGTATCAACAGTCCTGCCAGTAACGTTACTATATTATCAATACTACTTTAGTTATAGCCTGTTATAAAACGGACAAGTCAAATCAAGCAATCTGATTGGTTCTTAGCCGTGATATACTGAGCGTATACCACGGGTAGAATTGTAAGTTACTTTTCACAACAAGTCAGTATCCCTCCGCGTCTGAGAAAAACAGTATACAGTTGGGCTGAAAAGCAAACTGCTTGCAGTTTTCTTTTCAAACTGGAACAAGAAAGCAGCGGAGAAGTAACGGGGCAGAAACCCTCCTTTTTACGCAGCGGTCCAGACATAGACATCAAACGGCAAAAACATATTCAGTGTGCAGTTCCTTTGGCATTAGGGCAGGGATATTTAGATACTTTCCAAGGTTTGACATAATGAGTTGTGCTACTTTTAAAGCAAGCAACGATGTTTTCAAATCTGTAATCAAAAAGGTCCGCAAAAACATTTAAGATTAACTTCGACCTCCGGGGGGTGGGGGGGGGGGGGGTCTTACTATGGAGGAGTGGATTGAGGAGTGCGAGTGCCTATCTCCAGAACAAAAAGCACCTAAACGACGACATGTAGAGCTACGTGAAGAGCAGGTAGACCAACTGGAAAAGTATCACCATTCAAAAGCTTTCTGATGCGGGTCTTGAAACAAAGCAGAGAAATGATGACCGTTAGTGGCCACAGGTGCGAAAGCTCTCTCCAGAGCTACTGGAAGCCCAATCTCGGGGACCGGAGAAAGTGGAGCAATATTCTCGCCACGCCAAGCAACAGCCTAGAACAACCTCAACCTATACAAGTAACCACGTAAGCCATGCTACTGATGCTGGACAGGTTTTCAGTGGGTGCACAATAAACAGCAACATACACATTAATGTAAATAAATAGTCAAATAATGAATCAACGCTCTCTGTCTAATATGTTCGCTAGTTGTTGTTAGTGTTGTTGCATAGCAACCACCTCGCACTATGTTTCGTGCAGAAGGCAACGGACGGACTATTTTATTTTGAACATCATTATTTACTAATAACAACTATTTAAATTAGAGTGTGTATTTTTCTTTCATATTGCCACACTTGGTAACCGTTTTATAAAAGCAATAGCTCACTTCAGGCCGTGATATATGCTCATTATATCACAGTTAAGGGGGTTGTCGACCCTCCGCTGATATAATGGCCATATACCACGGCCTGTCGTGAGCTATTGCTTAAATATATGATAGCTAACTTTACAATGTTGTGATGAGACCGGCGTTAGCTAACATTAACTGTCTGTAGCTAACGCCGGTCACTCACCAAGACAGCTGCCCTGTTCTCCACTGGTTCTCCTCACACCACAGCTCCATTTCTCTCCGATGGCCGCTATTTCTTCTAATCCTTGGCTGCTCCTGGTCTCTTGGACGCCTAGCAGGCTCATCATTATAATGATATGCATTCGAATATTTATTTTCAACCTCTTCTGTGTCAAAACTAGCATTGTGATCCATGTTTATTACTACGTTAGACCGGCCGCTCTCCCCCATGTGACGTCACACGCGGTAGGTCACATGGGGAGGCTTTTTTTATGCGGAAGTGAAAATGTCTTACAAAAACGCCGCCAGATGTCACTGTAGTGTATATTTATGTATATTTTTGGGAAAATCTAGTGTATACATCATTTTCCTACACATTTATTCACTGGTGTCTCTAACCTGCAAGTTGCTCTTTAAAGCTATGAAGGCATACTCCAGGATATGAGTAACCTTCTGAAAAATGAAACAATGTAACAAACTGTGGTCTGGGGCCTCATTTATAACGCCTTGCGTAGGATTGACGTAGGAAGGTTGCTTACGTAGTACAAAGCACAAAAATAGGTACATACATTTTCCGCCATTTTCCGATTCACAAAACATTGCGTACCGGCGAGGGAAGTGCGTACGGCACTTCCTACGCCTGTTTCCCTTTATAAATCACAATCGACTCGTAACGCCCATATTTGCCTACAAATAGTCAAAGAAACGCCCATTCATTCATTCATTCATTCTGACTGCATGAAGAAGATCGCAGGAAATGAGGACAGAACAGCTAAAAAAGACATCTCACACCGTGTCAGATTTTGGTTATTTTGGGGAGGTGGAGATAAATCATATTGTTTGGTGGATGCAGTTTGAACCAGAGTAGCAGCATGGAGGTCGGATCGTCACCAAAATAAATAAATAAGTGGTCTGAAAAAAGTTAATGACAAAAGAAATACACATAACCTTCCTCAGGCAGTGTGTTTGTCCCGGGGACAGGAGACCCCCCCTTGATGAGAAACTGTAAGAAATGATCGGGGAATCCCTCCGGAGTGTAGTCATGACGACTGGATCTGAATTATTTTGTTGTATTTGGTGGTTTGTGTTCCAGCTGTCGATCAGCAACTATATATCCATAATCCACCAGTTAAATGAAATACAATGTGTTGTGTTATATTAGCTGTACAATTTAACACATATGGTGTTCTTAGTTTCCATACCTCCTGGGTTTTACGAGCGACTTATCAAGTCTTGGCAAACGGCATAAAACACGATTAAACGTGATAGTATATAAAACCATGCTCGTATCTACAACCTATAGAAATGCAAAACAGCGTCAGTTTAGACGTAATTCTGTCCTCCTGCTTACCGCATCATTTATGAGAAAACATTTCATAACATTAACACAACATATTCAAGGTGGTTTTAAATAACATATCCGTATTTATTTATTTCTCCAAGTTATGTGTTTGTGTGCACTGAGGAGTCTCAAACAGGCGTTTGTTTAATCATTTTAAGATTGGCTTTAATCAATGTTTGAAAATGAATTCTTCATATTTGATAAATGAGAGGTAACATTTTATTGATGGTATTATTTCCACATATTTCTCTCCATTCTTCCTTCTGCCAACGGTGTCGCAGTTTCTCGTCTCTCCCGTTTGTGTGCTTAGTGCGTACGCATGGGTTAGAGTTTGCGTGGAGGACCGCACATTTTCCTGTCAAGTTAGTATTTTATAAATCGCAAACATTGCGTAGAAACTGGCGTACGCCATTTTTGGAGCGTATATCCCTTTATAAATGAGGCCCTGGTGCGCACCAGAGAAGCGGACTATTAGGTGTGAATGCACCCTAAAACTGATGTTTAATCTCCAGGAATTTACCGATCAGCTGGAGGAAAATACTTTCAATGTAAGTATAGTTTTTAATTTACTCAAATATTTGACACCTACACCAAACCCAGGAGGCCTTAAAGGATACATCTTCAATAAACATATAAAATATAAAAACGATTGTCTAAACTATTTAATTAATAACTAAATGTTTTAATATAAATTCTTTACATTTACATAAATGTCATTTCATTAACAGATCATCATCGCCTCACACACACACACACACACACACACACACACACACACACACACACACACACACACACACACACACACACACACACACACACACACACACACACACACACACACACACACACACACAGGGATTGGAACTAAGCAATAGCATGAATTGTATGTTCTACAAATACAATTTTTACTAAAAATACTATATTCTGATGTAACCCTTTTGTACCCCTCTATAACAGATGTAATCACTTGTATTTAGTTATTTACTTACAGCACTACATGGAGCTAGTTACTCTAAATGTTTCATATTGATTCAAATAAAGAACCAAACTTGTGCTCTTATATTAAATATTCATATTCATGCACATGTCTAATCTAATCTAAAATTAAACTTCAGGAGACGTAATGAAATGTCTACCCTTTAGCATATTTTAAAAACATTTATTTGCATGTTTTTGAAACATATCTTCAGGAGAAACAAAATCACCTACTTTGCATATTTACTACTTTTGGACCAAATGTAAAAAATGAGGAAGTCTTTTAAATAATGTTTTTGTTTTTTTAACTAAATATCTGTGGAGAGGATTTCTAATTAGGTTCAACACCTGATTTGCATCTTTCTGATAACTTTGAAAGATTTGAGTGATTTGACATCAAATGTATTTATAATGTAATTATACATTCATCCAAACCCCAAGAGGCCGTATGGAGCTTTGTTCAGAAGACGATAATAGAAGAAGCTGCTGTCTTTCAGTAGACCACATCAGTCTACTTGTTTTTATTTACTCACTTGATATATGGTTACAAATGATTACACATGATAACAATGATTACATGATAAAGAAAAACAATCTGAACTAAACTGCTGAAACTCAAGTCTCAAAATAAAACCATAAATGCTTAATATCTAAAAAGGTAAAAATGCAAAGTAACTGAATGCAAATCTGAAAAACAGGAGACTTTTCTTTCAAATCTGTCGTCACTGACACCTGTTTCATATCCAACACATTCAAGGTGTGATCATCATCATACATGGTTAAAGAAACACCACACACATCAGCATGTTATGCAAACATGATCAAATGATGAAGAAAAAAGATGAACTCAACTGACAACAATCAAGTCTCAAAATAAAGCAACTACTGATGAACATCTAAAAAGTAATAAATGCAAACTGCTGAAATGCAACTCATAAACAAACTAAAATGGAGGCTTTTCTTTGTTCTACTTCCCAGCAGAAAGCTGCGTCTCTTTTATATGCAGTACATGTGATGAGTGTGATTTGGAAGAGACTGAGCTGCAGGTTAAACATCCTCATATGTGGAGAATACACAATAACATCAGAACAAATGATCACACATCGTCTTTTACACCAAACATAGTTTAAATATCAGTAAAAAGCCTCAAGAGCTGCAAAGTCTTTCTGCAGAACTGTCACCTAAAGATTCAAAGGCATCCTTTTCTTATTCCAAAAGTATATGCCTCAGTCAATTTACTTTACATGAAAAGAACAATTCATGAAATAATGCATTGGTTTATTTGCCATACTTTGTATATAGAGGAGAGAGAGCTGCTGTAGCTAGCATTGAACAGCAGGGGGGGCTCTTTCCTCAATTTGAAACCAGAGCAACAATTGAGGGTCTGTGTTCGTCTGGAGCTCCACAAACTCTCTCAATTATATTCATGCTGGTAACGACGAGTATCCTCATTCAACATCTCTTCCAAACAATCCTTCAGTTTGTTTTCTTCTTCTTCTTCTGCTTGGTAACCAGCTGGAGGAGCATGCACAGTTAGCTACAGTTTGGGCTGCATGCGGAACTTCACGGACTTTGTGAGGAGAGACTTTGGGTCACAAAGGACAAAGGGAACCCGCACGTGGAAAATATGAATTATATAACGTAATAACGTGAAGTAAGGATTGGTTATTGACCGGTAAACCACAAAGGGTGCTGTTTGCAGGAATTAAAACATTTAAAAAAGGTGATGACACGTAAAATATGAAAACATTATATCAACATCACACTTGGTATAATGAAATACCTTTCATCAAAGTGTAGAGCTTTTTTTCTACTCAGCTGTGTTCCCTCTGAGGAGATCCCTAGTGGCTTTACCAATAGCTGTTGTTTTACCAGACAAGTAGCTCAGCGCTGATTTGACTCTTGGATTTTGATCCGTTTTGCTTTTCATCCTTTCCAGTTTCTTGACCTTCTCTGTTTCTCCATTCTCCTTCATCTTCTCAATCAGGAAGTCCAGGTGGACCTGAGTGGCCAGAGAAACAACATTCAGAGCGATCTTCTCCAGTTACACAACATGTTGGAAAGACTCTTCCAGCCGCTGATCTTTGTCTTTCTGGAGCTCTGTCATTTTCTCCTGGAGAGTTTCCAAAAGGCTCACTGACTTCTCACTGTCTTTTTTACCCTTCTCAAACATCTCTTTCATCTGTTGTATGGTCTTCTTAACTCTCCTGGTCTTGTTCACATATCTCCAGTGTGTTTTCAGATGATCTGGATCACTGCACTCATCCTCACATGCAATGCATTGTTTTTCGTTCACGTGGTTGGATACATGACACTGACCAGTACACACCGTGCAGTAGAGCTCATTCTTATGGCCTGATACACTACACTTTTTGTTGCATATTGTGCATTTGTATTGCATGACCTCACTCTGTCTTGGATACAGGGTCACTGGGCATGGATAGTGACAAGTCTCCTCACAGACTTCACAGCAGACAGCTCCTCCATAGTTGAACGCCCACCATCTACTCTCACTGACAGGTTCTTTACATGTATAGACTTCATCAACTTCTATTGTGAAGTCCTTGTTATTCTTCATGTCTTGTTCGTGTTTCTTCAGACCTTCCTGAGTCTGTTGGATCTCTCTCTGTTTCAGTTCAATGAACTCAATCCTCTCCTGCAGGTTGTGGATACATGCTGTCAGTCTGATGCGTGAATTCAACACTTCAACAGTTTCTTTCAGGTTCTTTGTTTGTTTGTTTTTCAGGAAATCTGCGAATCGACCAATTTCTTTGTCTGTTGATTCCCATGCATTCTTTAGAGCACGCTCATTTTCATTTCTCTTCATTCTCTCTATATTCTGCCTGTTATTAAACATGAAATGAACAGGCTGACCCTCCTTGTCTTTTGCACACCCGATTTGCGCATCTTTCAGAGCTTGTAGAACATTATCAGTGCTCAAAAAATCTGAATATGTGATGAGGGCAACAATGTTCTTCTCTATGTCTTTTCCAAACAGAGACACCACTGAATCAAAGACGTATGTCAGTCGGTCACTCAGTCGATTGTCAATCCCTTTCAGCACCAGACACACTGCATCGATCTCATGAACTCCATCTGTTGAGCGGAACAAGTCCAACAATCTTTCGCTGACGAGGACATCTTGTTCAATCCCTTTGGTATGTCCAAACCCGGGGGTATCGATGATGGTCAGAGAGAAGGGCAGAGTTCTGTCTTCATGACCAAAGACCTCGTACACGATCACGTCTGACGTCTGAGTTTCTGATTGACTCTTCTTCTCTTCCTCTACGATCTGAAAACAGACATTGTCCTCAAACTTAACTCCCAGGGCGTAGTTAACCAGAGCGTTGATCAGAGATGATTTTCCTGTTTCTGTTTCACCAACAAGCAAGATGGTTTTGTTTATCTTTGTTGGATCTCTTTCCCCGAGAGTCAGTCTTCTTATAGAGCCAATGTTCTTTTGTTCTGGTATCAGCCGGTAGACAGAAGGAGATCCTGGAATGATCTCAAATCTGTATTTGGTGTTATCATGTCTGTATGAGATGTTCCTGTAGAAAAGTACAAATATTAGCTCCAAACTACTGAACATAGAATTACAAAAATACCACCTCACAAAAAAGCGGTTTAGTGTCTGGATACCTTAATCCTCCAAGAACTCTCAAATATGATTATTATATATGAATATGTTTATATATATATATATATATATATATATATATTTATATATTTATATATTTCAATACTAATTACTCAAAGGCCACACCCTATTTTACCTGGAACATGTAATAATGTCATAATCTTGTAATTAAATTGAAAAGGTTAAGGGTTGTTATGTCTTATCACTATTTGAGTCACTATGAGAAAGACAGTTTCACTCTCACAGCAGGCTGAAAGCAGGAGGCCTCTACATTAATGGAAATGTACTGTATGCGTTCACTTTCACTTTCATAAAAGTGTACTTGTACAACGTGAGGCTTGTCCAGACATGTCCAGTCTTTGACTACAAAGGAATAACATGACTTATACACATATAAGGGTATAAATGGACATGTATTTGCTTCTGCTTCTAATGGGAAATATAAAGTCAGCCTTTAGTGAGACACAGGAGTAGAAATGTACTGGTGGCCTGAGGAAGAATGATCGGAAGGTCAAACACTTAAGGAGGGAAAACTTAACTTAAAAGGGACCGATTATGCACAATCCACTTCTCCATGTCTCTTCTACATCAACATGTGTCCCCTCTTCTTCATGTCTCTTCTACATCAACATGTGTCCCCTCTTCTTCATGTCTCTTCTACATCAACATGTGTCCCCTCTTCTTCATGTCTCTTCTTCATCAACATGTGTCCCCTCTTCTTCATGTCTCTTCTTCATCAACATGTGTCCCCTCTTCTTCATGTCTCTTCTACATCAACATGTGTCCCCTCTTCTTCATGTCTCTTCTACATCAACATGTGTCCCCTCTTCTTCATGTCTCTTCTACATCAACATGTGTCCCCTCTTCTCCATGTCTCTTCTACATCAACATGTGTCCCCTCTTCTTCATGTCTCTTCTACATCACCATGTGTCCCCTCTTCTTCATGTCTCTTCTTCATCAACATGTGTCCCCTCTTCTTCATGTCTCTTCTACATCAACATGTGTCCCCTCTTCTTCATGTCTCTTCTACATCAACATGTGTCCCCTCTTCTTCATGTCTCTTCTACATCAACATGTGTCCCCTCTTCTTCATGTCTCTTCTACATCAACATGTGTCCCCTCTTCTTCATGTCTCTTCTACATCAACATGTGTCCCCTCTTCTTCATGTCTCTTCTACATCAACATGTGTCCCCTCTTCTCCATGTCTCTTCTACATCAACATGTGTCCCCTGTTCTTCCTGTCTCTTCTACATCAACATGTGTCCCCTCTTCTTCATGTCTCTTCTACATCAACATGTGTCCCCTCTTCTTCATGTCTCTTCTACATCAACATGTGTCCCCTCTTCTTCATGTCTCTTCTACATCAACATGTGTCCCCTCTTCTTCACGTCTTTTCTACATCAACATGTGTCCCCTCTTCTTCATGTCTCTTCTACATCAACATGTGTCCCCTCTTCTTCATGTCTCTTCTACATCAACATGTGTCCCCTCTTCTTCATGTCTCTTCTACATCAACATGTGTCCCCTCTTCTTCATGTCTCTTCTACATCAACATGTGTCCCCTCTTCTTCATGTCTCTTCTTCATCACCATGTGTCCCCTCTTCTTCATGTCTCTTCTACATCAACATGTGTCCCCTCTTCTTCATGTCTCTTCTACATCAACATGTGTCCCCTCTTCTTCATGTCTCTTCTACATCAACATGTGTCCCCTCTTCTTCATGTCTCTTCTTCATCAACATGTGTCCCCCTCTTCTTCATGTCTCTTCTACATCAACATGTGTCCCCTCTTCTTCATGTCTCTTCTACATCAACATGTGTCCCCTCTTCTTCATGTCTCTTCTTCATCAACATGTGTCCCCTCTTCTTCATGTCTCTTCTACATCAACATGTGTCCCCTCTTCTTCATGTCTCTTCTACATCAGCATGTGTCCCCTCTTCTTCATGTCTCTTCTACATCAACATGTGTCCCCTCTTCTTCATGTCTCTTCTACATCAACATGTGTCCCCTCTTCTTCATGTCTCTTCTTCATCAACATGTGTCCCCTCTTCTTCATGTCTCTTCTTCATCAACATGTGTCCCCTCTTCTTCATGTCTCTTCTACATCAACATGTGTCCCCTCTTCTTCATGTCTCTTCTTCATCAACATGTGTCCCCTCTTCTTCATGTCTCTCCTTCATCAACATGTGTCCCCTCTTCTTCATGTCTCTTCTACATCAACATGTGTCCCCTCTTCTTCATGTCTCTTCTACATCAACATGTGTCCCCTCTTCTTCATGTCTCTTCTACATCAACATGTGTCCCCTCTTCTTCATGTCTCTTCTTCATCAACATGTGTCCCCTCTTCTTCATGTCTCTCCTTCATCAACATGTGTCCCCTCTTCTTCATGTCTCTTCTACATCAACATGTGTCCCCTCTTCTTCATGTCTCTTCTTCATCAACATGTGTCCCCTCTGTGGAAAGAGACTCTGAAAGTTTCAGGAACAAAGATTCTCTCTCTTTTTGATCCATTTCTATAAAAACCTGTCTGAAAATGAGCTGATCAGATTTTGGCCACTTGATGATGTCATAACGATGTGTTGTCTTGTGTAACCATTAGCCAATCAGCAACCAAGGTACCCCCCCCCCCCCCCTTATCACCTGAATCTCCTCCTAGAGCACCATTGAGTTCTTTGTAACCAAATCTCTCTCAGAGGGGCGTGGGGAGGGGCTCCTTATTTTCATCTAAAGTAATATATTAGACGTTAAGTACTTTGTCAGGCTTCATATTTATCTGTAGATACAAATGTCACTGTGTGTGCTGTGTGCTCTGCATGTGTGACCATCAGAGGGTTTCATCCCTCCATATTCATCTTCTATACCCCCAAAGCTTTTTTCTTATTCAAAAGAAGACTTTAACCTAAAGTATTCTTTAATGTTTAAATAAAGCCTTATTAGTTTGTCTGTTTTGCACATCCTCCTATTAATATCTAATAATAAAATTATAAAATGCAATAACGTGCTTTAACCAGTAGGTGTCCCTTTCTATCAGCTGTGCACCGTTATGGCGTAAATACAGCCTATCTACCTTGACATAACGTCAACATACGCCGACCTGGGAGTGAGGATGTGTTCAATTAATATGGGTTTTACATTTGGCAATTGTATTTGTAACCATAAAGCTTCTATTTCATTTTTCATTAGGTCGTATCGTACTTTAGCTGGAATATGATTTTGTACATAGATCAAAACTCCGCCACCATTCTTATCTCTATCCTTTCTGAACAGATTGTAACCATGCATTGCAACCTCTGAATCATCAAAAAATGAGTCCAGGTGTGATTCTGAGATAGCCAGTATGTGTATATTATTTGATTCTACCAAATGGCATAGTTCATGCACCTTGTTCCTCAAACTACACACATTCAAGTGAGAAAGTAACATTCCCTTCTTTGGCAGATTAACAGAATGTGACATTATTGTCATGTGGTCATAATTAGTTCATATCAGATATACCTTAAAAGTCCAGTGATACAATGTGTGTGTGTGTGTGTGTGTGTGTGTGTGTGTGTGTGTGTGTGTGTGTGTGTGTGTGTGCGTGCGTGTGTGTGTGTGTGTGTATGTGTGTGTGTGGCACGAGCTCATTTTGTTTGAGCGAGTGAGAGAGAGAGCGGTACCGGGGATTATTGCTGTTAGCATTGGGTTAGCTAGCTATGCTAACGGACATAAGGAGCTTTTTCTACAACCAGGTGGAAGAGAGCTCTCTCCTGACAGACTGAGAGGCTGATAACCTCAGCTCAGTGAGGTAAAGGCACACCTTGATATGATCATTATAGTTATAAAAATATAAGAGAATAAATGAAAAACAGGTATAAAATACTATCTGAAAGTAAAAAAAAGTAGTTATTAATAAACAAGAATACAGTTTGAAAGGGGAGTGATTTGTAAAATATCCATAAAGAAAAAGAAAATCTGTTTTATATGGGTGTTGAGACATGTATCCATAGATCTCTTAATTTTGCTCTCAAAGTGCACCAGATTGATGCTTTTAGCTTCAACATTTAAAAGATAATCTTCCCGGACCACCCTAGTGGAGGTGAGGACCCCCCTAGAGGAGGTGAGGACCCCCCTAGAGGAGGTGAGGACCCCCCTAGTGGAGGTGAGGACCCCCCTAGAGGAGGTGAGGACCCCCCTAGTGGAGGTGAGGACCCCCCTAGAGGAGGTGACGACCCCCCTAGAGGAGGTGAGGACCCCCCTAGTGGAGGTGAGGACCCCCCTAGAGGAGGTGAGGACCCCCTAGTGGAGGTGAGGACCCCCCTAGAGGAGGTGAGGTCGCCCCCCCCCCCCCACTTAAATCATGTCCACATGGATAGGAAACTAAATACATTTGCACACATCTTGTGTCCATATCTTTCTGTTTTGGTGGTCATGCCACACCGTGCACGTGCAAAAAAAAAAAAAACGTTCCCCACCCCTGCTCTAAATTAACAGTCACAATAGGTGCGTTCACACCGGAGTACTTTGGTGTACTTTTCCCACAATAGTTAATCAGAACTACGATATATTTGCGTTCACACCAAAAAGCCCCAGGAACTAAAGTAGCTCAACTTAGTTCTTCAGACCCGCTTTTCAGGCCCTGCTAGAGAGCAGGGCCTGTTGTGGGAGAAAGTAGTTCGTACGTCTGATTGGCTGTGCGGAATGCAAACCACGCCCGTTTGACTCTGAATTTTTTGTTGTAAGCGGCCATTGTATTTCCTCGCTTCGCAGCACACCCGAAGAGATTCCTTTTGTGAAAGCAGTTATTATAGCAACACTAAATAAATCAATTGGAGCGGTGGAGTGATGAGGATGTGTCTGCGCTTCTGGCGATTTACTCGGAGGACGCGAAGCGCCACATTCAGAAGCTTCTACTGAATGCAGTTTCTGTGGCTCAGCAAAGTTAGCAGACCTGGCAAAGTCATGTCGGGACGACTACCAAGGTAAAATAAAATACATGCACTGCACTGTTTTAATCTGCACAATACTGGTCTTAGATGTACTTTTATTTGCTCAGTAGATCGAGCTAGCCATGCTAGAACTTGCTAACGTTAGGTCCAAGCTGGCTAATAACATCTAGCTAGCTAGCTATTCTCATCCATGCCCGCTATGAACACGTTTTGACTTGTGAATAAGTGTGCAATGTTCTGTAATTTGCTTCACTAACTCATGGCACTAATCGTGTGTTTCAGGCGAGGTGTTTCTCTCAGGATTAGAAACTAGTTTTCCCCTCCGGGATAAACGATAATATAACGTTAGCAATTAGCATGCTAGCTGGACATAATGCTACCTCTGTGGCTAATGCATAGAGGTAAACAATAGATTGTAGTTGCTATAATTTCAAGTAATTTGCAACATTCATTCTACATGTTAATGGTAAAAGCTTAAACAGTTGATTACCTGCATGCCACAAAGACTGATGTTCTAATATTTTTGCACATTGAAGTAGAAATGTAATTGAAATTCTATTTACTGCCTAAACATTGTTCCTTGTATTATCCTAAATAGTTTGACCTTGTTTCCTCAGAAGGCTTCTCAGACTACATGGAGGATCCCTCAGAGAAACACAGTTTCCACGTTCAGTTCCCCCCCCGCTGAGAGTAGGCAGCTCCACACCCTGTGCCCGGTCAGCGGACACCATCAGGACTACCATCCTGACCGCTGCTGCCATACTGCCGCAAACAGGAGGGAACGGAGGTGAAAACACACTTTATACATTTAGATATGTGGAGCACAAAGAAAAGCATTGCTAAAAAACATTTAGCAGCTAAACTGTGGATAACAAGTAAACCACATTGGTTTGTTATTCAATATTCAAAAGCTTTTTGAATCATTACATGTCACTTGTTAGACGCTTTTATCCAAAGCTTACATACTCAATACTGTGGGCAATCCCCACAGGAGCACTTTGGGGTGAAGTGTCTCAGGGACACAACGACATGCTGACTGCAGTGGGGTTTGAACCTGTGCTCCCCTGATCCCAACACCAATGCACTTATCCACTGCGCAACACGCCTCCCTATCATGTCCTGAGAGCCCTCCATCCCCCAATTGCTAGTGCCTTCACCATTTAAAATGTTAATAGTCAAATCAAAGGTGTTCCCCGTGTTTCTCCTGTTGTGTGCCTGCAGAGACAGATTTGGACAATGTTGTCTCGTTGTTGCGATTAAACTGATCTTGTATCTTGCATATTTCACCTTAGGAAAGTGGGCACGCGATGACAGCTTCCTTGACGATGGACTGCCGTGCCATGGTCAGCAAGGAGAATGAGGACCTGCGTGCCAAGGAGATGCACGACGAACGGCTGCTGCATTCACACAAGGCCCAGGAATCGAGGTGGAGCAACAAAATACCTTTCAGGCTGGGCTTCTGGCAGTGCTAAGCGAGCTGATTAAATCCAACAGGCCTTCAATACAAAAATTAAGAAAAACTTGTCGTTGATAAACTGTACAATGACTTGTTGGGAGGCGTGTGGTGCAGTGGTCTGGTGCGTTGGTGTTCGGATCAGGGGAGCACAGGTTCAAACCCCACTGCAGTCAGGATGTCGTTGTGTCCCTGGGCAAGACACTTCACCCCAAATTGCCTACACCTGGGACAGTTAATTTTGTATTATTGTGATTATATATATATGCCACTGTTATTAATACTGACACCTAACTTTGCACTAAGGTGTGTCTGCTGCTGAGCCTACCTATTGTTATTATTTATATATATATATATATATATATTGCCACTGTTATTATATTGTTTTGATACTACTGACACTTATTGATCTGCTGCTGATAAATAAAAGAGAACCTACATGCACGGCACTAGCATCATGACTGTCTTTGTTTAAACCAGCAGCAGTGCAGCGGTACACAGACTAACCTGTGTGTGTGTAACGTAGTTCTTCAGGTGTGCATGCTTAACATGTATGTTAACATGTATGTATACAAAAGTTTTTAAAGAGCTTTCAACTCATCCCATTGTCTTTAACACACATTTAACATAATATACTCATTAATATACAGTATGAGTACTGTTTTGATACTGACATGTAATCTTTGCACTAAGGTGTGTCTGCACTATTGTAATTGTGTCTGTTGACTGGTAAATAAAAGAGAACCAAATGCACTGTACAAAATATCAGCTTTATTGTCAATTTACAATTTCCATGCTGTTCAGATGCCTCTCCCCAACGTTGCTTCCAGGCGAATACAGAGGAGTTGAAAAGAGCCCTTGGACATTCGGAAATCTTCGATCCACTGCACACGTTGGCACCACCTCCCACCAGGCCGACGTTCTATTGTTCACCCAGAGTTCCGTAGTATTCGCATATCTGGAACACATACAAAGACACAAATTAGCCCTACATAACTCCATAAATCCTACATTAGATAGTATTAATGTGATTTAATGAACGTACTTTGGGCGTGATAACGGCCATCATCCTCGGCTGTACAACGGCGAAACATGTCCATCGCGTGTGATTTCGTCGTCTAATCCTTTTGTTAAGGCTTCTTAACCGCCTTCGCCTCCGACTCAGCATTTCTATTGCATTTGAATGGTCGATCTGTATTTGTATTTGTGGCTGAGTTATTGGCTTAAATAACTCAGTTACGAAGCTGTATAACACGAGCACCAAAACGTCAACTCCATACCGTGTCTGAGGTCGGAAGGTAAACAGAAGCATACAGTGGAAGCAGAAGTTTTTTTTCTTCTTCTCTCGGTTTTTTGGCGAATTGCAACTTTAAGGTGCATACCGCCACCTACTGTACTTGCCGTGAAGTTGTTTGCGGCCTGCCAGGAAAACCAAAGCAGAAGAAGAAGAAGTGACGTCAGCGGCTCATTTGCCTAATCCACCCCCAGGAACTCATTTTGGTGTGAACGCGATCTGCTTTAGTTAGTCAGAACTAAAAGAACTCTCATGAACTAAAGTTCTCATGAACTACTGTGGGAAAAGTACTTGGTGTGAACGCGCCTATTGTAATAAGAAAGGTTAAAACCTCGGGACCTACGGGGCCACTTAAAACGTTTTTTCAAAATGTTAAACGGTGACATTTTTTTAAATTTCAAACATGAAATCATTCTTGTGTGGACCAAAATACAATACGAATTATTATTATTATTATACAAGTGACTATTCTTGACCAAAGTGACAGAAATGGCATAAAAACACATTGATTATAATATGGGTCATTTTTGACCCACTTATGGAAGAGTGTAGGGTCCAATCACTCGTGCATCTGAAGGTAAAACTGATTTATTCTGTTGTCTGCTTTAAAACAGCAGTTAGTTGAACCTGGTTCTCCAGAAGTTAGTAGAGGTAAGACCAGTGTTTCCGCCAGACCAGGGCTGACAGGGACACCCCTCCTGGCATGGAGGTTATTGGGAAATGCAGCGTTGTTTTTCTGCTCAAAACTTTTTCTTTTTATCTTTTCGTCATTTAAAGCAATAAAAACTCTTGATCTTCTCTCAATTTTTCTTTTTTTATTTGGACGCCCTCGGCTCGAGTTCAGGGCGTTCCGAGCTGAATAAGGGCGTGAAATGACGGCAAGACGCCCGTGGAAACGCTGGGTAAGACCTTTCAGAGGTGGATCCGAGCCTGGTGGTAAACTTGCATAGACTCAATAACTTCTGATAGGTCAATCAGTAGGTCTGATTAATAGTCAGAGATGAACTCAGGCGAAACAACAGGCTGTGTATTAAGGCATTTTTCAGACACTTTAAATCCACAATTAAGTTGTAAATTAAATCAACATGTAAAGGAACATTTTATAAAGCAGCATTTTACTGTCTTTTCAGAATAAAATGATAAAATGTTTAGTATTACTCACACTGCCATGGTGACTGGTTTACAGGAGGATGAGGATGGATCACCTGATGAGTTTTCTGCATAAAAGAAAACAGATTTTTAAACTACACAGATTTTAAAATCACACTTATTGAGAGAAAGTGATATTTAAAACCTTTTTATCAAAAAACATCAGATTTCACAGCTGCTGGAGTTACAGCAGAAATCTGTCTGGAAGGAAGAACATCTATCTAATGGGGTCTCCAACCTCTCTCTCTCTCTCTCTCTCTCTCTCTCTCTCTCTCTCTCTCTCTCTCTCTCTCTGCTCCTCCGTGGCGATGACGGCTTGCGTTAAAAATGTAAAGTGGGGGGGACATGTCCCACCTGTCCCTAGTGGAAATTACACCATGTGTGCTGTATGTGTGTGTCAAGTGCAATAAATAAATATGCAAGTTGCAACACACACACACAGAGTAACACTCTGCCCCTCATGTGCTGTACAGGCTGGCTCAACTAGGCTGTTCAATGGGGCTGATGTGTTGTGTAGATTCTGCCGATATTCATTGTGGGGGGGGGGGGGGGGGAGGGGTGTTAGATAGATATAGAGTTGTAGTAAGTAGATAGAGTTCGCTATGATTGAGGTTGAGGTTTGGCGAAAGGCCTGCTCACCACTCCAACAGTACATAACAGCCTAATAATGATCTTAACCTTCTCCACATCGCCTCCTTCAGACAATAAATCAACAATACAAATACAACTACAGATTATATAGGCATTTCGTTCAAATGCGATTTCAAATGCTCAGGTTTTACACCTCTTATGAAATGTACAATACATTTATTACGGAGTTTATGCCCGAGCCAACAGACTCACAGATCGTTGGCTACTGAAAGATATGCAAAATACACCGCATAGTACGACACAAACCTCCGCTGTGGATTTTCAAAACAAAATACAGTAAAACTATGGTCGCAGGCCCAAGTTCAACTCTCTGAGGTCTAAGCCCTTTTTCACATGAAAAAATGCTATTAAAACATGAACCTTGGTGACCATTGGGCTGGCCTGCATGGTCTGCCTACAAAGCAAAAATAAAAAAACGTTTATGCAGCCCCAACAACAGCCTCTGATTCATCAACAGACTTCATGCAATGCTTCATCGGATGCATATATTAGATAATAATCTCTATCTCACTCCTAACATCTAAATCTACTTCCAGCATGGGTAAATGTTCATAAAAGACATCCATTGTGTTAAAAACCAAGCTAATTGCTGCTATTTTGAAAAGTGATATTGAATGTTAAAACTAGAAGTTTAAGCACAAAGGAAAACTTATGTTGAAGACCAACCGAAGTATTTTTTGTATTTTTGATGACTGTTATTTGAACCATTCCATTTTGATAGTATGTTTTTTTATATGAGTTATGTACTATGCAAAGTTCAGATGAAGAACTCATTGATTTCAGTATTGTGTTCACACCTTAAAAGGTGTGAAAGGAAGGATTGTTAGAAATTAAAATCAATGTTTTATGGCATAATTTAGTCTAAAACATACAGTCAGTTTAAAAGCAGTCTTATGAAGAACTCATTGATTCCAGTATTGTGTTCACACCTTAAAAGGTGTGAAAGGAGGGATTGTTAGAAATTAAAATCAATGTTGATGTGGCGTAATTTGAATGAAATACACTATTTCATTTAAATCTGTTTTATTCTGAAAACTGAAGATTCACATGTGACTTCCGGTTTTTCCGCTGGTGAATTTCGTCATTTCCGGTTAGCATTAGCTTGTGGCGAAATGCTACGTTTTCAAACCGTGAATTGAAGGTGAAATAACGTGATGTTGTACACTAAACACCCTGAGTTTAACACTCATTTATTGACGCTGGAATGAGATTTATTAGGGAATGTTTAGATGACCACAGACATCAGAGTGATGTAATTTAGCAGCAGAAACCGACAGGATTTGCATTGGACACGCCCCCGTCGACGCCGGCCAATAGGAGAAGACTACAGGTCTTACCCGGGAGACCCAAGGAGGATCTCGCGCTCTCTCCTTGCCCGCAGCTGACCCGGACGGACGGGACCAAAACAGCTGGGAGGAGCAAACCACCAACGAGCACATAACTTTTGTAAACCACCGCATCTTTTGTGTAATTAAATGCTGTTAACTTGTATAAGCTTGCCTTGACTCTTTTCAGTCTCTCCTGCTCTTGGGGTTCAAGAATAACTAACAATTGGCAACCACGAAGGGACTCTGAGACTGGAGAGTGCTGGAAGAAGGGAAAGCTGCAGCTAACTAGCATCACAACAGGCGGCAGATAGAGGATTTTTTGGCTGGGCCGAAATCACAGGTGAGACAGTTACCTGTTTAATTAAAAAACTGTATAGTTAAATAACTTGCATTAGGTGCAAGCGTTGGTGGTGCGGTTTTGTTTATAGTGTTTCTTCGGCGCCGCCCGATTAATGTGAATATTAAAGACCTTTGGGAAGGCACTAGAGGTTATCTGGTTTACATTGGACTGGCTCCAAATAGTGTTAAGATCTCTGGGGAGGTACGAGCCATGCTCTGTTTTGCACTGGACTGGGTCCGTTCATGTTAGTTTATATGTTTGATGTGTTAAACCGGCGTAGTCTCGTTTAATAAAGTATATTGTGTGGAGTTCTTAAGCCGAAAAGTATATTTTTGTGTGATGTTCTAAGCCGGAAAGATTGTGTACAAGATTGGTATAAGATCAGCTTTTAAGGTCAGCATCTATAGAATTTAGAGCTAAGATAAATGAAGTTTGTATTGGAGTGTTTCAAGCAGTGTGGTTTTCAATTGCATCAAATGTTCCCATTGTTCCCCTCCCCTTCCCCCAGTCACATGAGGTTAATGCTAAGCTAGTTAGCTAGCCAGTTGGCATTACTAGGTGATACAACTGGTAACTATTGGGATGGTGGATACACAGGGATGGTGTAGATTAAGTTGTTTTTGTTTTTCATGCTTTTCAAAGAAAGTAATTTGAACTTTATTTGGGTAAATAAACCGGAAGTAGGTTTATGAACTGGAAGTATTAGTTGATACATTTGAAAGGAGTTACAAATAGAACAGCTCCCCTAGCGGACATAAGTGTTACAGTCAATACATTCTTCACCACACACAGATAAAGATTACATGTGGTTTCTCTGAATTGAAATATTGTAGTTATGACATTTGCATAATTTCATAAACTTCAGAATACACTGTACACAGTTTATTTGAATTTTCATATTTTAAAGGTCAAAACCATACACTGTACATTTTTTATTTTTTAAATTTCTGATTTTAAAATTTGCATAATTTCTAATTTACTTTATTAATTTTTTATTAAAAAAAACAAAACAAAAAAAGAATCCCAGATATTGAAGTTAAGTTCGGATGACATAGGATATTTTTTATCAGGACAGAAGGTACTATTCAGTAGATTAGTGATTCATCTTTGATACATTTAATAACTATATCCAACTACTTAAGAAATATGTCACTAAATGACACTAAGTTAAGAGCATTCTCAATGCCAGGCTCAACTGCAGATATTAAGGAGAGGGTAAACATCAGGTCAGATGCTATGACAGCGCCAAAAGATAGACAGAAGACATGGAACAGAATAGAGAAACTGTTCGAGCAGTGGCAAACGAGAGGATTGATTCCAGCAGATGATAAACCTGGACCAACGAAAGCCCATAGAAAAGCAGTAGTTGAATATGAGAATGGAGAATACCTACAACAGCAAGAGGCATGGATCAAAGCTGGACGACCCTCGTGGTATGGACCTGGAAAAAGTGCTATGAACAAAGCTGAAGAAAGAAAAGCTAGAGTTACAAGTCTGATACTCCATCTAAAATATGCCAGCCAGGGATTGACAACAAGCTTACATTTGGTAGAAGCAGCAGATCTGCCAGTAAATGAAGACACAGCAGAAATAACAGAAGAGGCTCCAGTTATCCAAACTCCAAAGCAGTATCCAAGCCTGACCGAAGTGCCTCCTCCCGACATATCAGAGAACAACCCTTCTCACCAAGCATCAATTCAAGCCCCAAATGTGAAAGAATTGGCGTTTGAGGTAAGAATCCTATCCAGTGTCAACCAGCTGATGGAAGCAGAACTCATCAGAGAGGAAGAGTTCAAAAGAAGAATGGAAGCAGAACACATCAGAGAGGAAGAGTTCAACAGAAGAATGGAAGCAGAACTCATCAGAATGGAAGCAGAACTCATCAAAAGAATGGAAGAAAGACAAAGACAAGAACAAGAAGAAAGGAAAATATGGGAAAAAGAGCAAGAAGAGAAAAATTACCGAACTGGTTGCTCTCCTGAACCAACACATTCTGCAGATGAAAGATTCCAAGAAATTAAGGAAGAAAGAAAACGACAAATAACTAAAAAATGGGGAGAATCTCAAACAAAACGCAGAAGAAATTACTCTCCTGACAAAGACTATTCCAAAGGAGATGAAGATGAAGATGACGACGGCAGTACACAGTTTGTAACCAGTAGACACTCCCCATACCAAGAACAGTTACACCAACGAAGCAGTATTGTATCTTCCCCAGAGAACAGTAGTAGTGACGAAATCGAGCAACAGCACCCTGACACATGCCCCAAACCTGTAAGAACCAAGACCCGTGTTCACACCTCCATGCCATTGATAGCGGCTGGAAGAGGAGGATTTGACTACCAACCATGGACACACAGGGACATGGAGTCGTTAGTGGCAAAGCTACCGCCACTCACCCAAGGAGGACAGAAGTGGTTGAATGATCTGGAGAAATATACTGTCCAAGACCACCTGTGCCTGGGAGACATAAGGGCACTGCTTGGACGGATAGAAGGAAGACTAGAGGCAAGAGCAGTAGATTCCAAGGCCAAATGCACCAACTCTCCAGATGACATTTCGTTCAACCAAATCAGGTCGAGGTATTGGGCTGCTATTCGTAGCATCTACCCAACAACACGCAGTTTACAAGCCCTCAACAGCCTGAGAAAAGAACCGGGGGAACACATGCATGCGTTCCTGAAGAGATGTGAAGGACTGTGGGAGGACTGCACTGGAGAACGACATGACGCTTCTCCGGCTGTCATAATGTTGTGGAAGAATGCGGTCATTAACGCCCTTCCTAAATCAGTCCAGGAACGCCTAAGAGACGTGGTGGGACTAGAAGTGAAACCCCCAGAAGAATGGAGACTACATCTCATTCACCATGACATCAGGAATTAAAGGAGGAAGATGATGAAGATACAAG